ATTACATAAAGCTGTACAAGCGCTAATTTCGACCTGTTCAGCTTCAGCAAATCGTCCTGCTTCTTCCATTTCTTGTGCCAATCGTCCATACATCTTTTGCGTACCTTCATCTCCAAGAAATTCCACAGCCAACTGAAATTTTCCCTTTATATTTTCTTTGGTGCGATTTGACCAATCATAGAGAACACCGCGATACGACTGAGTCAGACTGCTTGCAATACTTATCTGCTGCTGAGGCATAAGATGAAACAAATTCAGATCTTGACTGAACTTAGATTATGACATACTGAAGGTTGGTAGAGGGGGAATGAGATGGCACTCCTCTTAATTGTGAATAAGCAGTCTAGTGAAAATTAATATGCAGATCTTGAAGATGATGAAGTCTAACTGGATTGTCAAACTTAAAACTTTTCGAAAGTTACTGAAATAAGATGCGAGATCAATGAAGACAGCAATAAAGATTGAACGTGATCAGTAATAAGATCAGATGTTCTTTGCGAATAACTAATTGACAGAATTCTTGTCATTGTATTGAATAAATTTTTACTCGATACGAATCTGCCCAGCGATTCGCTTTATTGTACATTCCAATCGCTTCGTTCTGCATATCAGCCTCTATATAAAGCATTTCAGCACGCTGAAATGATGACCAAACTGTATTCTTCGTTATATACTTCGATGCTGATTGAATGAAAGAAATATTCAACTGATTTCGATAATCGAAACTTATCGAGCCAACGATAAATTGAATGAAAGCTATGGTATCATTGTTTTGTGATAATTCATTATTTTATTGATGGTGATTCAGCGAAATTTGGAATGAGGCGATTATCGGTGGAATAAAATTCAGCAATTAGTTGCGAGTGATGAGCAGCAGGATAGATAAAGATAAATGAAACGATGCTCATAGAATGATATTACCTCAAAATCACCGATGGCAGCATGGTGTTCAGCAATACGACCGTAGTATTGTTTCGCCAGTGAGCTATCCTCAAGAACATCTGCTATTTGGGCTGCCTTGCTCCACTGTTTCGCTTGTATCGATGCTTCCAATGCTTTTGCGCTCAAACCACTCTCTGAATTGATCATGCATGGGATTCATTATACTATACTGAGTAAATGTACTTCATAAGATTTATCTTTATTTGCCATGATCCGACATTGTGAATAATATTGAAAAACTTGAGAACTTGGATCACGCTGAATCAACAAGGAGATTTTGCAATTTGCGATCGGCTTGGTGCGAGAAGAAAATCGATCAGTTAGTGAAGTTTCCAATTCGGGATGTTGTGAAACGTGTTAATTAAGCGAATTTATGCAGATCACTTCTTGAAAGTGTGAGCACAGAGGCAATACACTCCAATGAGAATGTGAAGTATGAAGCATGAACATGAAAGAATCAACCTAAGAAATGATTAATAGCTGCTTCGTAATTGCCTTCTTTAACCAAACTGTCACCCCATTGTTCTTCAAGTGGAACCACTCGTTCTGGAAAGCTGGTACGAGCCAACTGCAATATGGTATATTTGCATCAATACACTTTTACACGACCTTGCTACCATACTTATTTCGATCGACACTCAATGCTAACGCATCATGCTTATTGATCAGAATACAATAAGTTCAACGTCAAGTATATACTGTGAAATGAAATATGGTGAATATAACTCACTTGAATGGCTTTAGCAAAGCATTTTCCTTTACAAAAGCATTCGAGCGCACGATCGAAATCTTTCGTCTTTTCAAACAACTCTCCTGCCTTGAAATTACCAATCAGTTTATATTTTATCGCAAACAATGAATTTCATTAAATTCAGATGACTGTCAAATACGAAGGTCAGTCAGAAAATTCTCAGACAAATGCTATCAACTTCGCCTAATTACAAAGACCAAAATATTTTCGAAGATATTTCTAAATTGTCTCAATGTTCCTTCGTAGATAAGCTTCAGCGCATATGAACAGTGTGTACGGCTTACACAACGATCATAAAGAAATCATAAAAACATCAGTATTATGACTCGATTTTGTTCATCATTCTTAGATCATATACATCTCAGTTGTCATATACATCTCACGATCAGTTATAATAATTGCGAGTTCTCATCTCTATCCATAAAACGAATACAATATCCATAAATACTATGAGATATCTCTGTGTGAAGAATTTAATAGTCTTATTGCTGCAAGGTGTTGGATTAACGAAATGATGATGTGATGCTGGGAAGAGTCACTGATGGAAATGTATAACTGAATTTGATGGGGCAATTAATGGTTGGTATATTAAGGTGTATTGAGATGAAATAGTTGCCGATTGATATGGAATTATGGATTTGATTCACATCAATCAGTTGAATCTGATGTACGATTCAAGAGCAACTTTCAGTCATATTACAGTGAGATTCACAATCAGATGAATGTAATATCTCAGAACCTTTTCAAAAAGTTCCGAACGAACTAAAGTGACGGCAACTTTTTGGACGAGATCTTCATTTTGAAGAAGTTGTTGCGAAGAGAGGAGTACTCTTGCTGCATGTGATCCTAGATTCGCTTTCAAGTACAGCTCTACTGCTGCTTGCATATCCCCGTCACGCTCCGATATCTGAAACACGTCATACTTCCATCATTTCCCCTTATTCGCTATTTCTTCAGCATTGTGTCTTTCCATAAACAGATATCACATCCATCGAAACCGCAATCACGTTTCGATACTGATGATCAATAAGCAATCAACCGATTTGTCTTTAAAAGTTCTCAACAGCAACTTGTTGAATGTACGGGGAATTTCATAGGAATCGTAAATTTGAGAACTGCATCGATACTGCAAAGCGATGTCTCATAATGCTTCACTGTACTAGATATTGGTGAATTTATATGCAATTCAGAGGTGAACAATTGTTGTATCTGATGATGGCATACTTCAGCGGCTTTCGCATCTTGTCCTGAATCGAACAGGTTACGGTAATACCGTGCCTTCAACGACTCAAAATCAGGATAGTTCTGAAAATGAGTGCATGTTTAAACAATCCATCTGTTATACCAGAAACTCGGGATCGTTGATGATGATATACTGTAGTAAACACTAGGTATTGAAGTTAGGAGTGGGATGTTAGAA